GTGTGTGTGTGTGTATGTGTGTGTGTGTGTGTGTGTGTGTGTGTGTTTGTGTGTTTGTTTCGTTTTTGTGTTTTTTTTTTTTTTGTCAAACTTTGTGATGAAATATGCCGGGCCTCCACATTAGACTCTATGTTTAAACGTACTATTACGCAGTACACAAATTATATACGTACTCTTAATAGTACGGGGATCTTAAGTTTCCTAAATGTACTCTGAATAGTACGAGTAACTTAAGTTTCCTAAAATGGTTTTTATTTGTTTTATTAATTAAACCTTTTCCATTTAACATATCAGATATTTGGATGAGGCCATTGAAATGCCTCAGTATAATACCATACATAAAAGAGTTGGTCTAGTTTTATTAATAGAGCTTTATTTACTTTCTAATTTTATTTATATCTGAATACTTCGGTAGCGAGATGTCTCAACCGAATATAGGTTTCTAGGGACTATTAATGTTACCTAGTTGATCCTCCGATCAGCCAACCAGATGTGCCAGTCTGATGAAGGCTAAGTCGGAGAGGTGAAGGAATAATTGTTGATGCCGCTTTTATGATCACTATCTAGGCCGGCCACGGCGTTGAGGGTCACCTCGTCGAGGTAAGCAGTAAATTGACACAGGTATGCAAAGTGGTCTTGTTATCCGTTTTGAAAGAGTCGTCGAAGAGAAATCAGAATGTGAAAATAGCGGGGAAAGCGCGCAGGACGACGGCCGCAGAGGTAAAGGATTCCTGCTTTGCTTTCAGTTGAGTCTTTTATATTCGTTTGCTTTGTCTTGTAGGCAAGAAGAGCGAAGACACGTTTTAATTCTAAGAGAGACCCGAACTTGGTTCTCCTGTTTTTCCACTTGTTGTACCATGACCTGTGACGAGTTCGTTGATTTAGCGTTTAGTCAACGGTGGATAATTTGACGATTAGCTGTCGTTGCTTGTAGTGCTGCTGGCTGAGGTACGAAGTAATTAGTATTCATCACTCAGGCTGTATAGCAATACGAGATTAAGCACTTGCGTACCAGAAACGGCCGTGACTGCCGGTGTTGTTAGAAATGAAAATGTAATTAATGAATTCAGAAGGTCGTTTGGCATAGTGATTCTTGTATACCGTGTTGATAAGTTCTTATCTAATCGAATCGATCATGATGCGTCGGCAGCGTACATCAGCAAGTGCGTCGACGCCACAGGTTTCTTTGCAGTTCGGATATAGTCTATGTAGACTCCAAAGTGGGCAAGCTCCATTTTGATACCCATTAGCCAATTATAAAACCAATTAGAGTTATCTAGATCGGCTTGGTCGTCTTTCTTCTGTTTCTTGGCGTGATATAGTTTGCTACGAGCCATTGTGAGATGTGCAAGTGCAATCGTTGTAGAGCCATAAATCGATGTATGTCACTCTGTAGTTCGCGGATGATGTTTTTAATGGTTCCAAATGATTATTTGCGGACTCGAGTGTCGTATATTCTGGTATGCGAGGCCAAAAATTCCGAGTGAAGGTATTAGCCTCCTCCAGAGTAGTGAAAGCCTTGGGCCAAGTTATTGTCTCCATTGTGTTGCGTCAGTGATCTGTTGGTTGGTGTGTCAGTTTAGCTGACTGTAATGATCCGTAAAATGTGTGGGGGGAGGTAGTAGCCTAGGGTTAGAGTTGTTTGGGAGGTGGGGTGAGGTGTAGTTGGGTGCTTGTTGTAGTTTTAACATACTATCGTGTGGGTCAAAACAGGCCCACAACCTGTTAGACAAATGCAACTTGATAAGAAGTAACTTTATTTGATTCTCTTACTGAGAGTCTTATAGAGCTCTACCGCTTAAGGCGAGAGCTTGTAGAAATACGGCCTCCGGTCAGTCTAAAATATCAAGATCAATTGAGACAATACATTGGTTTTTATTTGTATTTTAAATAATTTAATACAAGCTCTTTTTCCAATATTTCCAAAGTGTGGTCATGAACACTTAGTACTTCTAGTGAAAATTATTCAATGAAGAACAGCTAGAGGTACGCCCTGTGTGATCGAGGATATTTAGGCTCTTAACAAGAGGCAGTCCCGATCATTATTACACAAGCTACCACTGCTAAATCCTAACTGACTAAATTGTATTTTAGTTTGATATAGTTTGAAACCTAGTAATTTCCATCGAAGTTTACAAGCTTCTTTTGCTCTTGAACATGGCGTCACTATTTTGATGACACCGTTCAGTTCATGTACCGAACTGTATATATTCTTGAGATTCATATCTGCTGGTTTGCTATGTCCAACAGTATTGGTAGTATCGATCGTTTGGTTCTGTAGTAAGAATAGTGAGTGTGTTTTCGAATGAAATATTTCGGACGACGGGGTGTTGACAGCGAAGTTCTTACCCAAAAAAAACACAATATTGTCAGATATTAAAGTATCGTAAAGTGTTCAAAGTTTTAAGTGAATAGTTGTGATTTATTTGGTTCGAGTCCCTGATTTTATATGCTTTGGACTCGTGACCCTTGAGCCATAAACAAACACCTCGTAAGGTGAAAAAAGGTTCTCACTTCATCTATGATCCAATCCAAAGGCAGCGTCGCCACGTCTTCAACTGATCGTGGATTCCATCGTAATCGTTGGCCGTATACGTCTAGGTTGTACTCCTCCGATATTTGGGGATGCCCTTATGCCCATTATAGTTTTTCCATATTGATCATTCCGTACTCCCAGCAATTAATTATTCCGAGATTAATTTCCATCTGTAATATTTCTGTGTCCTTGTCTGAGTTTAGATTCTCTCCTTGGTTGGTTCTAGGATAAACCTTGTTGAGCCTCCGTTGATTGACCGTGGTTTTATGCTTAGTAAACAATCCTGGTTTATTGTGATCGATACACAAAAACAAACGTAATATAGGCCCGCCAGTTCATTCCCTAAGTTCCTTGGTCGTCTCCAAACGACTGTTCTGTGAACGGTGATCAGACGTCCTAAATATGATGTTAATGAAGAGGCATTTTGAAACATTACATTGGATCGACAACAACGCCTATGAATAGGCCACATACCCATAGAGGCTTTTCAAGTTTCTAACTGGGACGACCTTTGACGAATATTGCAGACTAGCAAACGGATTCGTCACGGTTCGTGGATCTTCTGTGGTACGTTTAATTTTTTATGAAAGGCTGTGTTTCATAAAGAAGGGTTGCAACAACTCACTGCAACCAAGAAACCTTCGATGTACGAATCGTTCCATACATTTGATGTGCATCATGAACAGGAAATCGATATAAATGAAAACGACTAATGTTTTATATTTATCATGATCAACAGAAAACCTGCAGCACGATTGCCAGTTGTGTTTTTGCAGATACCACAGAAAACACGCGTGACGAACCCAATGCCATGTGGTGTGTAAATTTATTCAAAGGCAAACATTAAATTGTGTTCTGGATTGGTGTAAACCAGATTTGTATCGAAGCTTGTCACGGTGTGAATGTATTTTTGCGCAATATTTTGGCCGGTTTCATCTTGTGCGCTGACGGAAGTTCAAGAAATGCGATCTTAAATTCGATAACCCGTTCAGTAATATTGTGCGGTTTTTAGCACTATAGATCCAGATAGATTTATCCTTCAACTGAACTGTGGAATTTTTTTTATTTCGGAAGATAAATAAATCAGTAACTTTGAAGCTGCTTGACCATTATATAGTACCAACTTTATAGTTTGCGTAGGATCAGCTGGCTCCTTGATCTTTTACCCACTATCCACATCTACGCCTCGAACCAATCGGTAGAATTAAGTTATAGTTGGATTGCTTCCTCACATTGTTAAGGGATTTTAATTTTTTGTCGATCGTTTTCCATTCCTAATAGAAATGGTGAGATGAAAACTGCCTCATAAGCCCGACGGTTTCATTTATTGGTATGTACCATGATTTAGATTTGAGCTGAAAACGCACGCCGCTCGCACTGATCAGCCTGTTTGATCAAAGCCAGTACATGCCGTTATTACATATGTGACGCTAGTGTCTGCCCCGCCAACTCTCTTATTAGACAGGATAACTGATCCCAACCTGACAGACATTTATGAGCCAGTCACCACCGCTCGAAATCGCTCACCATCTGGGTCACAATGCAAGTCCAGAGTGTCACATGGCGTTAATTGATAGACGTCATGTCCAGTAGTCATCATAGGACAATCATAGTCAAAGCATATCATCGGCTATTTCCAGAACCGTTACCGTCGCTCACTCTGTAGTGCGGGCGGATTGGTCACCAACCGCTCGCTACCACTAGTGCCATAACTTGCTATGACTTATGGGTGAAGAAGATCTAAGACTTGTCTATCTCTAATGGATAGCCTGATAGCCTATATATCCAGCAAGTTACCGTTCCATGGCCTGTGAAGTAGCGCATGTCCTCGTCGTTGTTGCACTCCTCAGTACGGCGGTCGCTACCTGACTAGTTCATACGTGGGCACTATAAACCCTAAAACAGTTCATACGTGGGCACTAATCTACGTACATCCGTGGCTGGTGTCGTGCTCTGATCTGTATCTGTCTTGATGTGCATTTCACTGCCGGTGGTCCGGTGAGCTCCATCTCAGTGCCACAGGGTAGATGTAGGTAGCCGGCGAGGCATAGCAAGCTACAGCACATGCAACTGTCTGTAGACATGGAGTAGGGAAGGTCCTTCGTACGGCCCATCAACACACATATGTATAAATATGCGGTCACATAGGAGAGTACGTCGAATGTCTTAACGTACCCGATTTTAGCCGCATAGATGCCTACCCTACCCGCGTATATCTACCGTGCAATGCTACCACGGATTCAGTAAGCTCTCTTAGCAGCATCCTCTGCTCACCCCAGCAGATCATCAATAAAAGCGTTTCCTCCAGTGTTTTGTGTGCTGGAAGGTGTATTGTTCATCGGCGCATCCTGAGCCGCCTGCCCATACGCTCTCCCGTAAGCCTGATCGAACGCCGCGGGCTTTTGACTAGCCGCCGCTGTTCCACCGCTAAACGAACCAAAGGAATCTCCCACAGACATGCTCACGCCCTTGTTCATCGTCGCACTCGCACTGCTTGCGCCCATGACAGTGCTGTATCTGTTATCATTGCCGCCGAAACTGTACTCACCGGTGTTGTCCCCGTGACTGGGTTGTCCGTATGTATTCGTGTTGCCGTGGCTGTTCCGTCTGGACGTGCTCGACCCGTACGCGCCTGTAGCTACTGGGTAGGTTGAGCCGCCTGTTACGGCCGTCGTACTTGTGCCAGCGGGTACGCCGACCAAATCCCAGCCGTCCAAATCACCCCATCCATCACTCACGCGCCGACTATCTGTGATACTACCGCTAGCAATACCAGTACCGCTATTACTACCACCGCTGTTCATCTGACTGTTATCTCTGCCTGCAGCGGCGGTGTTGGTGCTTCCTACTAGGCTGCCCCATCCATCCGTATCCGCTGGACTCTGCCTATCACTAGAGTTACTGGTCCGTGAGGGGTTGGATGTTGATGTTTGCCTATTAGGCGTCGTGGATCTGACCTTTGGCTTACTCGCTGGTGGGCCTTGACCGGAGAAATCATAGAGCGCTATTAGAGGATGTTGGTATTTGGAATGATGCCAGTACCTCGAGACTATCACATAAAGCGTAAGGCTAAACATCATAGGGAAGTATAAGTGTGTAAGCATAAGTCTTAACAAACGTCCATAGGTAGGTATAGCATACGTCCATAGGTATTTGTAAGTGTGTAAGAATAAGTCTTAATATACGTCCTTAGGTAATTATAAGTGCGTAAGAATAAGTCTTAATATATGTCTATAGGTATTTATAAATGTGTAAGAATAAGTCTTAATATACGTTCATAGGTATTTACAAGTGTGTAAGAATTAGTCTTAATATACGTCCATAGGTAGGTATAGCATACGACCATAGGTATTTATAAGTGTGTAAGAGAAATTTATCATATACGTCCACAGGTAATTATAAGTCTGTAAGCATAATTCTTATCACACGACCATAGGTATTTATGTGTGTGTAAGCAGAAGTCTTAATATACGTCCATAGGTACTTGCACGTCTGTAAGCATAGTTCTTATCACACGGTAAGCAGAAGTCTTAATAAACGACCATAGGTATTTATGAGTGTGTAAGCAGAAGTCTTAATATACGACCATAGGTAATTATAAGTCTGTAAGCATAATTCTTATCACACGTCCATAGGTATTTATTTGTGTGTAAACAGAAGTCTTAATATACGTCCATAGGTACGTGCAAGTCTGTAAGCACAAGTCTCACCACAAACTCCAAACCTCTCACATCCCTCCCCCCCGCGCCCCCCCCCCACAGTATGATCTATTCCTATACATACTGTACACACACCGACACCTCGATTAAAACCCTACCCACTCACACTCACCACTGAGCTGCCAACCATCGGCCAGCATATGCGTATCGGGTCGTGGCGTAGTGCGTGTGTGGGCTGTTGGTTTGTCCTGTTGTTGTTCGCGTAGTCTGCGCTGCTGTTCCTTCTTTCGCTCCGTTAATTCTCTGCGCCGGTTTTGCTGCTGTAGCAACAGATCCACTCCGTCCGCTGAGTCCGATGGCGTTTGCCTTGACCCTAACATGGTGGTATATAACATATGGGGCTCGAGTGCCTTAGTGTATGAACTACTAACGGTAGGAGTGTGGTTTGCCTTGACCCTAACATGGTGGTATATAACAAATGTGGCTCGAGTGCCTTAGAACATGAACTATCAACGGCAGAAGGGCGTTTACAAAGCACTCCATTCGGCCTGGTCATACCTCTCGACTATGAAAACCTGACAAGGCAAGTTTAGAGCTACACAACCAGTGAACACGGGCAAACAGCTTGTATGTATCTATACGACTGGGAAGCTCTCAACCCGCCAGAAGCTATGCCATCTGCCACAGTTCAACACTATCCACGTTACGTATCTCAATACTTGCTACATATCCACACCCTATCCAATAAGCCCACACATTTTATATAGCACTAGTCCATGACTACGTATCTACCTACTCTCACACAACACTAGTCCATGACTACGTAGCTACATACTCTTACACAACACTAGTCTATGACTAAGTAGCTACATACTCATACACAACACTAGTCCATGACTACGTAGCTACATACTCTTACCCAACACTAGTCCATGACTACGTAGCTACATATTCTTACACAACACTAGTCTATGACTACGTAGCTACATACTCTTACACAACACTAGTCTATGACTAAGTAGCTACATACTCATACACAACACTAGTCCATGACTACGTAGCTACATACTCTTACCCAACACTAGTCCATGACTACGTAGCTACATATTCTTACACAACACTAGTCCATGACTCATCCTTAAACCCCACCTGCACTGTCCGTTGTTGTATCAGCGCTCTGTCTGGCTGTGTCGCTACTTGGCGCGCGCGCGCGTGTGTGTATGGGTGTGTGTGTGTGTGGCGTAAGGCTGTCGAGAGTGTCGCCTGTGGCTGTCCCTTGTTTGTTGTTCTTGTTAGCGTACGCACTTGGACCACTCGTGTTCCACGAGGGAGCCCTACCCGAGGCGGCCTTTGCTGGTGTGTTGGTTGACGTATTCGACGTATCGGTAGGCGTCTTATTTGGCCCTGCTGTGCTTCTATTTGGCGCTGGTGTGGTTCTGTTTGGCGTGGTATTAGTCCGTTGTGGCGTGTTGCTAGTGGTTCTGGGTGTCGTTGAGGGTGTGGGCGCTGTACCTGTGTTGGGGCGACATAAGAGAACACATTCGTAGACACTCATCAGACGCATAGCAAGTGCGGGTGTGACGTGTAGTATAACGAGCAACTGATTATACGCGCCCTCGTGGAAGAGTCAGAGAGTGGGATAGCCAAACCATGGAGTGGTACTAATGGTCTGATAAAGCATGCGGAAGTACCAGGTATAAGGACTTACACCAAATACAAATAAGACGCATCTGGGTGATGGTAAAGGTACTGTGACAAGTACACTGAAGTACCAGCCATAAGCAAAGTAACAGCCATAAGCACACACACTCAACTCAAGTGATGCGACGCATCCGGGTGATAGTAAAGGTACTGCGACAAGTACACTGAAGTACCAGCCATAAGCAAAGTACCAGCCATAAGCACACACACTCAACACAAGTGATGCGACGCATCTGGGTGATAGTAACGGTATCGTGGCCTACTACTACGCAATGAGTATGGTCTTCGGTTGGCGAGCAGTTGGGGATAACTGACAGTCTCATTCTAGGACACAACACATACCATCCAAAACACACAAGCTGAACCACCACACACTCACGAGCACCCCCCACGACAGGGCGACACACGTTTACCTGCACAGTTCTTTACCTACACAACTATTTACCTAAACAGCACTCTACCTACACAGCCCCGTCTCCCCAGTACCTCTACTCACATGCGTGTTCTATAAATAGCCACACATCGCATCCATTGCCCTACCTGTGCCGCTGGCTACCGCAGTCCCAGCAGCCTTGGTGGCATTCAACTGAGCCCAAAGTTTCGTCTTGAGTTGATCTTCAGTTTCACTGGTGGGCTGGTCAGTACCCCGAGACCCAGACCCTCGGGTGGCTGACTGACTGTTCGGTACATGACCGCTCCCGCCCTTAGATACGCTCTATGTAGGTATGTATATGGGGAGTGCATGCGTAGGTGTGTACACGTGTAGGGTTGTGGATGAGGTGGATGGGACTAAGGCGTATGCTGATTTGTGGACTAAGCAGATAAAACCAAGACACGTGTTAGGAGATAGACTGAGTCACTCTATGTAGGTGTGCACACGTGGAGTGCATGCGTAGGTGCATGCGTAGGTGTGTACATGTGGGGTGCATGTGTAGGTGAGTACACATGAAGTGCATGCGTGGGTGTATAGACAT